GGTGGGGTGTAGAAGAGAAGTGGATGGGGAGAGGTGAGTAAAGGAGAAACGGAGAAAGACAAGGGAGGGACATTTGTGAGGTGTGCTGACAAAATGAGGTACTGCTCGGATTTTAGACTTATGGAAATTGATACATCAACTTTATAGAGGTGGGTTTTGTACAATTTGTAAGCATGGAATAATAAAAGGCACGGTAGACTTGAACAAAATGCAATCAATTGAAAATATTTAAATCTGACCCCAGTGTCCATTTTCGGCAGATATCTCCATTCTTGGATTGCAAGAGGTAACTCATTTTTAGTGGACAACGAGTGGTATCAGACACTCAGACAAAACCCTAGGACGTCGAGCAGAACACCATTGTAAGAAAAAAAATGATAAAAGACAGCCACGAGGCTGAGGGTGCAATTGTTTTACACCCACATCAATACAGTTTAGATCATTAAAGAAACGTGGTGCTTTGGCTATGTCTGTCAAGGCCAATCCGTGCAGAAAGAGATTTTGAACAGATAGGTGACGGGGAAAGACCACCAGGACAAGATTGGTTTTTCTAAGAGCATCCGTGTAAATAGCAGTTCATACTGGAATATAGATGTCACTAGATTGAGAGATTGAGCTGGCGACTGATTGAGCCTCTTGTTTTGTACATGAGTCCGGTTGGCACTAGGTGCCCCCTGAGCTGACCAAAAATATCCTCAATAATTTTTTAAAAATGTCTATCTCCACAAATGCAACAATCAGTATTGCAAAGCACTTCTAAGTAACTCACGGAGACAATAAACCCACTGATAAAACACCTAGATCTCTGTGATAGAGAAAGGAACTCACTGATAAAACACCTATATCTCTGTGATAGAGAAAGGAACTCACTGAAAAAACAACTATGTCACAGAGACAATTAACACACAGATACAACACCTATGTCACACAGACAATGAACTCACTCATAAAACAGCCATGTCACACACAGACAATGAACTCACTCATAAAACTGTTATGTCACATAGACAATGAACTCACTCATAAAACAGCTATGTCACACAGACAATGAACTCACTTATAATCTTCTCCACGAACGCCAGCTCTTTGTTGAAGTTGTCCTGGCCCAGACTGCCCGAGGAGTCCACCACAAAGAGGAGGTCAAGGGGCGCCCGGCACGGCTCGCCTGGGAAACACACACACTTCAGTAGTGACAGGTCAGAGTGGAATGTCGGTCGTGACACGTCAAAGAGGAATGTCAGTCGTGCAGATAGAGAGATGATGATTGAGGCATGCAGGGACAGCATGGAGAGAAATGAAAAAGAAAGG